AAAACTTATAGAGTATATGATATGGTAAAGTAAAAAAAAAATTTAAATGTTAAATACATTTTTTTAGTTTAGTACCTCTATTTAGATGCATTATATTTTGGCAAACACAATATTTATAATATTATTATATCATTTTCTCAATGTATCAATTTTTATTCATTCCTTTCATTAATAATTTCTATTAAAAAATTATAGTGAAAAAAATAGTTGACTGATAAATCTCTTAATATCTGAGATGAGGTTATGAAAGAAAAATTTTGGTTAGATGTAAAAAAAAAGGGTATTTTTTATCTGATATATATCATATGCACTGTAAAATACACTCACATATAATAAAAAACATCGATTATTTAGTGACAAATTCCTGAATAAATTTACAACATAAAATGCATATCTAGCAAGAGGCAGTGTTAATGTGTATAATAATGTATACAGTAGGGCCACAATCTCTAAATATTTATTTCTACAGAGACATACTTAGGAAGTTAAGTGGTGGCTTTCAGAGATATCTATACAACTAATATAATTCTCAAAATGTAATTCTAAATATGCTAACTTAGCTTAGTCTGAGTGAGGCATTAGTGTCTCAAGCATAGGGACACCAAAAAAAAATGCAGATATAGTACTAAAATATTATAAATGTAGATTAGTTATAAATGTCTACCCCACAAAATTCAAAACCTCCTAGTTTTGGTAGGGCCCTAAGACATGGGGGTGATTGGTACTATTTTATTCAATTCACCACTTGTTACTGAGTTATACTGGTTTCAGGGAATTTCACCCCCTCATCAGTGACCCTGGGAAAAGGCAAATTGGAAAAAAAACAAGACTAGGTTTCTTGTAGTGGTGAATTTCATGTATGGTGTATAGTGTTTTTAGCTTTTACTCAACATAGTGAACCAATATTTATATAGGATTTGACAAATATGTAGCATTTATGCTACTTATTCTGTTGAATTATTTAACAGACAGAATGAAAAGATTGGGCTTCATATTTATTTTTAATGTTTTAAAACAGTCTGTCTACTGATAATTCAGTAGAATAAACTAGTAGCATAAACGCTAAGTATTTGTCAAATCCTACATAAATATAGATTCAACTAAAAATTCAATACATAGATAAAACATTTGTCCAGATAGACCACCAACAAGCTACAAATATAAACTGATTAAGATTAATCAATGGAGAGGATAATTTTCCAATTTAAACATCTTCTTGAACAGTTTTATTGATAATTAAAACACAAACCTCTAGCAGTGTCTATAAACAAATATTTATACTTTTGATAAATCATTTAAATATGAAGTATCTAATAATTACAATTAAACACACCAGGATGTAGCAAGGTGGAACAATTGGACACATGTGGTGTTATGTTTCACAAACTGAACTGAAATAATAAACAACTGTCAAGCTATTAGTCATACCTTCTTTTTTGCCACATCTGTTCAAATGCATCAGCTAATTCTACATTTGTGATCTCTTCTGCATCTTGAAATTTTAAAAACCCATCTCCACCATGACCTAAATATATGTACAAATATACAAACCAAAAGTGAAAGTTTTACCGCTTACTAGGAAGTTTAATCAAACCAACCACAGTTCATACATTAATAATAGTTAACACATCAAAACAACTTGTATCATATTTGACCATAAAGTAAATAGTTTTAAGTTTCTCCATATTTAAGCACTGAGTTGGTTACTATAAAAAAATACCAACTAGACTATTTACATATCAAAGTTTTCAAACTTGTATGAATAATACTCAGAAAACTTACAAAAATAAAATTCACATTGATATTAGTGATACATGATTGTTTGTTTGTTTTTGAATTTCGCGCAAAGCTACACGAGGGCTATCCGCGCTAGCCATCCCTAATTTAGCAGTGAAAGATTAGAAGGAAGGCAGCTAGTCATCACCACCCACTGCCAACTCTTGGGCAATGCTTTTACCAATGAATAGTGGGATTGACTGTCACATTATAATGCCCCCACGGCTGAAAGGGCAAGCATGTTTGATATGAGGGGGATTTGAACCCGTGACCCTCAGATTGTGAGTCTAGTGCCGGGTCCTAGTGATACATGAATAATCTTACAACAATTATCAGCTATTAACAAATATTTAAAAGATATTTCAAGTCTCAACAATTACTATACAAAACATAAAAACTGGTTATTTAATGCTTCTTCCTCTTCAGATGGCATTCAATTTAAGCCTTTTCATTGTTTCTAATGAATTACAAATTCTGAGAAACATCTAAAGCTGGGACCATCTAAGTGTAAGAAGAAGGCTATCACCAACTGTACAAGCTATAAGAACAGTTAGTTGAGTGTTTTGTTTGTTTTTCCCAAAAAAGTTTCACATTTTAGCACTACTACTGCTACCATATCAAATAACAGGTATTTCAAAAATCATTTCTTCTCTTTAGATGACTATATCCAGGAAAGTAATGAACACAAAGGAGGACAACATACACAGATGTATTGCGTGTCATGATCACAACATGTTCACACTTTATGGTACATGTGGCTGAAAAATAGGATAGGTTTTTTATAATAGCTATTCAATATGATCATCATCTCTAATCATACAAACACATTCCACACTGCTGCTTCACGCATATCATTTCTTTGCTCCAATGACAGCATTGCAGTGAACTTGTTCAAAACTCCTTTAAAGGATTTTGGAAAATGGCTCTTATACTCATAGGTTGCATGTAATGTGACCACACTTTGACTTAAATACACTACATGACTGTACTTTGTCTTCTACATGGTTTAACCCTCTTGCTGTAGACAGGTCAGAAGGTGCATGTCATGACATTTTAGAGATATTTGAAAAATTTATTTAAACAATTTTATTATCATTGTATGAGAATAAAATTGACATCCCAACATAGCTTAAAATTCAAATTTTAATATACGTTTTAATTTCTTAATTTGAAAAGAAATATTACCAAAATGTTAAATATGCTTTTTTGTATGCCATATGGCATGTCTTCTTGATCAGTTTATATTTTATTATGCCTACCATACAACATCTATAATGGTTAACAAATCAGAAACTCAAGTTTCAGACATTTACAAGCTGGAATGTAAAATAAGAACATCCTACCTTTATATTTGCTGAGATATCAAGTTATTTTGAAAATCTACAGGGTAGCCCCATTCACTACTTCATTCTTTTGAAACATCTGGGCTATTCATGCACACTTCTATTAAGTACATATCCATAACCAACAGTAAAAGATCTTTCCAAACTATGTAAATCTGATTTGTAATTGGCTTGAAGGAAAACTTGAAATGGTAAAGTCTGTTGACTAAGTTGTTGCTCTGAACACAAATGAGATTTTTTTAACCCAATTATAGCTTAGTTAGAAAGCCAGATAAATTATAGTGATTTTATGTGTACCTGTATAATAATTTGACAACTTTTGGTTTTCTAAAATGCATCTTTAAAATCTACAAAAATGAATTTATCTTTTCTCCCCACTTGAGAAAATAAATGAGGTTTACAGTGAGGTTTAGATAGTCTGATGCAACAGTACAAATCAATTACGCTTACCTGTAGATTTTATATTTATTGTTCTATGTTTGAAGAAAAATAACTAAAAATTAAGTACTTATGAGTAATTCATAATACTACATATGTATGTTAAGAAGCACTTACACACTTTATACACCTATACCTCTAAATTCTGACCACCCTGGAAGGATAACTAACATCCAAATACCTACTAAGTTTATTGGATTGGCCCTGACTCTGTACAGAGCCATAACAGAAACATTTTCTTGTACTTTTATTTCTTTATACAATTCTCATTGCAACCATTGTACTGTAAACAAGCTCTGAATGCCGAGTGATTTTCATATTAAGATTAAAAATACTTTTTTTTCATCTGAAAATTTTCAGATTTCACTTTCATAGTCTTTAAAACCTCCTAAATAAATATAGAAATTTATATGTTATCTGTTATTTTCTCTACCCAAACTCTATATGGGGTCTATCAAATTAACCAACCTCATAACCACCATAAACCTTTAAATGGTTGGAAAATGCAAAATAAAGTGAGTAGTACTGTTCTATCCATTTTAATATTGACCATGAAGTTCCAAAGTACTTCTGAGAGTTTCTACTTCTAACCTTTTCACATCTATTTCCTATGTTTATTTTACTGTTGAAGTAGAAACCTGCTGATTATAAAGCATTGAATAATCACTCCTGCCATTAGACTGTTTATGCAACACTGTTGATAGCAAATAAGCTCGTACTGCACAATTACTTTCCCACAGAGTTTATCATAATCCCAGTTCCGAGAACACAGTGAGAGAAAATTTATTAACATATACTCACAGACCTAGACTAACATTTTCAGTAGCAAAATTAAATGCATAATTGTAAGATTTACATAGAGGAGAACCTGATATTTCTATTGATTATAAACACGTGCATCTTCCATGTATATTTGATTAGCAAAATATTTTGTAAGTTAGAGGGAGAGAGAGGGACGGGCTTCTTTGGTGGGTTTGACAAATTTATTGATATCTCAGCAAATTCAAGAAGGTAGGAGATAATTATGTACAGTTTGTATTTATAACTGGTTTAAAAATACAGCAGCTTATCTTACAAGTTAGAAAGTTCCTCAGATGCATCATATGATATAGAAAAATGAAGACAGAGATTTTTTAAGGATATTTCTTTTAGAACTTAAGCAGTTAAACCTTAGATAATATAACTAGACATTCATGCAAAGTTTACTGACATACTTCAATATTAAGTTGTTTAATAATTTTGAATGTAACACTGTAAAATGTCATGTGATACTCACTTTGACCCAATTGTGTTGATAAGTTCTTAAGAATCACTAATAACACCATATATACTACTTGGGTGGAGACTGTTTTTAGATGTTCATCTATAAACATGTACTACAGTTACGTTTGTTTTAATAAATAAATTTGATCTGTTAAGTTTATAAATAGTAGAGGGTGGTTATACCCTTCACAGGTTTAATAATCATGGAATTTGACAGAGTGAGATTTCAGTGAAGACACAGGCTCAATGCTGGTATCAAATAAGCCATTGCTGCAGAACTTATACATGCCAAGCTTACAAAAAACAATACAATATACATTAATTACATACAGCAATATGGTACGTTTAAATTTATGAATATGTTACATATGCTAAAAGATACACAAGGCAATACATAAATTGTAAAATGTGTTTTGATGCATGTAAAAGATTAACTTGGGATCCTGAAAACATGATTGGTCAATAATAAGAAAATGAAAAAGGTAAAATGCTTAGAAGACTGGCTTTTATAAAACAAGTGCAAAATATCAAATAATACTGGTAGCTAATTCAATTCAGTTAGAACTACTTTACATGTTGTATTTATGATAGTCTAATGGCATTCAGATAAACCATGATCAAACACATACAATTATAACTGTAAGTGTTCAAAACAAGTTTTTAAATAACTAACAAATATATTATATGAAAGTTACGATTTCTGAAAGTACATAGAGAAAATTAAATACCATATAGAAAGTCTGTTTAAACAATTAAGTTTTAATCTTTTTTTTAGTTTCAACAATGAGAGTTGATATCACTGCAGATGTCATAAGTTTCACAACACGTTATACAACAAGATAATTGAACAAACCAACTGCATGAAAACAGTTTGTCTATTACAAAGATGATAAAGTTACTGTCAGTTCTGAAAAAAAAAAGAGATTTACTAAAGTTATAATTTACCATTGGATTAAAACAAGTGCTGCCCAGTGGAAAGAAACAAAATTACATGTAAATCATCCAAGTGAGCAAACACTGTTCTATAGGTTATATCTTTCCTCTAATATCAATAAAAATTAACTTTAACAAACACCATGTATTAAGTTATAACTCACCTGTCATATATATTAGAATGTTACTGTGTTCATCAGTTAGTAGACGTTTAGATCTTGGTGTGTTTGGTGGAAGTCGGCCAGTAAGGAGTCGGATGAAATTTTCTACAGTCACCTTTAAAAACAAGAAAATCTTACTTATGACTACTTAGTAGTTCATTTCAAATTAGTTTTAATGTTTCTATGTATAAAAAATAACTTTTACTAAGTTCTATTAGTAACTTTTTTTTAAAATACGATCCACAAAAATTTCTAAACTAAAAAAAATAGTATTCTTTAATAATATTCTTGAAGTAGGACATTTTTATGATTAAAAACTTTTCTATAACAACTACGTAACTATAAAATTTGGGACATTTGCAAACAAACTTTAACAGTTTTAAACTTCAAAGTTATAAATATATCCTGAAATACTAGAGAAGATATTTTTTTCTTTTTAATTGAATGTAAACCAACTACAGAAAACAACTGAAATTCTTCTATTACAGTTTTATAGTAAAACTACTTTTGTTTATGTTTTGAATGAGAATTGCAATACAAGTTTTTGAGGTCACGAATGTCACCCTAATTTTGTATTATGATTAAATACATCATTCCCATTATTATCCTCATTATCAATAAGAAAAAGATACTTTTGAGCATGTGTTCATCATTAGTATACTGTATGTACAACATAATAAATATAGAGCTTAAGTAGTTAAAAGTAATTCAGGAGTCATTGTAGTAGTATATGTATTGATTAGGCACTCAATAAAAGTCCGTGACTCATTATAGTAATCTATGTACAGGTTAGACAATTACAAAGAAGTTTATGACTCAAAACAGAAATCTATGTACAAGTGAAGCTGTGAAAAAAGACAGTACACAATCCAATGTAGTAATCTATGTACAGGTTATGCAATTAAAGTTCATGTCTCAATATAGTAGTCTATGTACAGGTTAGACAATTACAAAGAAGTTTATGACTCAAACAGAAATCTGTTGATGATGACAAAAACCTTGTCAAAACGTTGTACACTTGCTGTTATGTTAAACTTGTATTAAATTTTATCTTCATTACCCATTCGAGCCATCCCCAAGCATTATTAGTCTCAAAGTGGGTTCCTTGTCATCGAATTTGTACCCAATATGATGTAATACATGATCTCCACTAGTAGAGATCTGCATAAATGCAAGCCAGTAATTTAAGGGTAGGGATGGGGCAAATAGTAGTTTTACTTGGATATCAGCTGTTGTACATCCAGCTCCTGATACCCAATAATATTTGGATATTTTTGGATTGGATAGTAGATGAGGCTCCACATGCATGAGCTACCATTTCTATATAGTATATCATTACACTAGTTATTTTGTTACTGCATTTGAATATTTAATAAGGGTACATACAGGGATGTACAATTCCGCACAAATAACTGAAAACTGCAGGCTCTTTACAGGAATATAGCAAATGACTGCATGAGACAATGCTTTACGTCCACAATATCCTCTGCTGAGACTGTTGTTTGGATTGTGTTTACCTTTGCAGTAGCTGCTGCTACTGTAATGTTTAATGTCAGGGAAAATGCTACAGTCATTAAAAGCTAATAGAGAGAACCAGTAGGCTAGATGATGATAATGAATTACCTATTATATATGGCACCTGTGCAAGTAGTATCATGCCTGCATAATATTGTGATATAACCTACTGATGGGAATGCAATCTGATTACCTAACTTAGAGCAAATTCAATTTCTGATTGGATCAGCTTTCAGCAGACAGTGCAATAAGTGATCAGAGTGGATATTTCTCACATCCCTAATGTACATGTAATCTTTCCTCCTAATTTTCTAGTTTCTTTGTCTCATGACAATTTTCAAAAGGCAAATATTTTAAATTGATGACATTATAGTTAATCTATGGCTAACCAGCTAGATGGTAAGATTTGCTAAACAGAGAAGAAACTCACTGATAATTCCATTTTACTAACTAGTATGAAGATTATACCAAGATTTGAATGCAGTGAGAGGAATCATAATTTAATTACTACTCATGACAGACATATTACCAGATAGTTTAGGTAGAAAAAGACTCAATGTTCAGTTAATATCAGTGTTCTCCCCAGAGAAGATATTAGACACTACAATTGTACAATATTTCATGCTGGACATGCGGGTAGTGCAATTAAACATTATATATGTATCAGAAACACTTAGCATTGTATACTGCAAACCCCCAACTTCACCCAAGTCACGTACAAGTAAAATGCTCAATGGTTCTTTCAAAAAAATAACAGGTTTAGTTGATTTTGGCAATACAAAGAAAAGGTAAATTGGCAGGAATATCACACTTGGGTACCTATATATGCATTTGTTTGAAAGAGCAGCATGAAAATATTTGGTTGATTATAACTTTTAACAGACACCACATAATTAATTCACTTAATAATGATGAAATTTTGTAGTAAAGCTTAAGATGTTTATTTCATAATCTTGTCCAAAAGCCATGTAAGCATGATTCTACATGGTAGTAGTGATGTAACAATATTATTTGCAGCATCCTATTATGTTACATATAAGTACAGCTAGTATAACAGTTGTAAAAACACATAATACAACACATTACAGAATACAAACTTAACAGCCAGAACTTTCCATTAAAAAGCATAAGCAAATATTAGTTTAATTTGACGTACTTCATATCCTCGGTAATCTACTTCTACGTCATCACCATACACATTAATATGATGATGAGCATTATTATAGATGGTAGCTGGTCGAGGATTCCTGGCATTGCAAGCCATCTCATCAGCGATCATCAGTATTATCTGGCTGTGGAAAGAAAAACATTACATATGGTTTAATATAATATTTTATTTGGTAGAATTCATGACCAATCTTTCAATATTTATAATGTTCAATGCTTACTTGTACACTACTGTAAGTTTTAAGTTGTTACTATTATGTGTATGTAGTAATAAACTGATATAATTCTTACAACTGAACCATTTGCATCATTCCTTTACAGTTTTTAAGTTTACTTATTAAATAATACAACTATAAAAATCTACTGTATGGCTTGGGGTGGTAAAACAGGTATATTTATATTTGTGATTAAATCATAAACCACACTGATAGTTTTACAAAAAGACTGTTTTTAATATTCTTTTAAAATCATAAAAATAAACAAAAAATTAGTCAAGTTAAGGAAACATAACAAATCCACAATTTGAAAAACAAACTTTATGGAAGATTGTCTGCAAATGTTATCTTAGAAACTGAAAAACATCAGGTCAGTTTAGATAAATTTTACAACCTTAGAGCAACCTTTAATATGTGTAACAATGAAGTTTATTTAGTGATAATTATTTTTTATATAAGTATATATATATATTAAGAGCTGGGCAATCAGTAGTATTTGATAACCAATTAATCATCAAACTCATTAATCACTTACATTCAACTAATCGATTACTTTCATGAGTCTTGAAACAATCTAAAATAGTAATAATTAGAAATTCATGTTAAATTTTATTAATCGATTATTTTACAATACCAACTGAAAATGTACTGATGCTCATAGGTAACTGATTATCTTAATTAGTCAAGTTAATCATGCAGCACTAACAACATGTGTGTGTGTGTGTGTGTGTGTGTATATTGACATGATGGTTACCAAGACTCATAACTCACATACCACACAAGTTCATAGGAAACCCACAGATATGGGTAAATATCTTGACTATAAATCAATCCATTCAAACAGAATATGGTAGAAAAACACAACACTACACTCCTTAACAATGGATACCAGACCAATTGATATAGAAAAAAATAGAGAAGATAAATACTGAGAATAAACAGGAAGAAAATTACAGACCGAGGCTTATTACCCTATGACAGATGTCTCTGAAAATATACAAGATATGTAAACAACAAAGTCAGAACAGTATTCAGAAGCCACAACATAATATAACTGCAGTTAGTAAACACTAACCCACCTTAAGACTCAAAGGAAGAAAAAACACAATTCACAGTATGCCCTCTGAATTTGTATTCCAATATATTTAAGAAACGAAAAGACCAACAAAAGACAGAATTTAGGAACATAAGAGATTTGATAATACCGATATACACATAGTGGACAAAAAAATGGAAACACTTAGGTAAATGTGGGTCAAGAGGTATATACAATGCAGAGGCTACCACACAGGTGTGGCTCATTCATTAATTAAGCAAATAACATCCCACTATGCATAGGGTCATGTATAAAAATGCTGGACTGATCTGGTTGCCTATAATCATGGTTAGCATGGCTTCAAGAGAAGACCTCAGTGACTTTGAAAGAGGGGTGATTGTTGGGGCATGTTTGGCAGGAGGTTTAGTGACCAAGACAGCTCAACTTGCTGATGTTTCATGAGCAACAGTGTCTAAGGTGATGTCAGCATGGAACTCTGAGGGAAATACATCATCGGCAAAGGGCAAGAGTGGTTGGAAGCGCATACTCCAAGTTTGTGATGTCTGTGCATTAATTCGAACTGCAAGACAAAACAGGCAAGCAACCATAGATCCACTGATCGCAAATTTCAACCTGGGGCGAGAGCAGCCAGTTTCATCAAAAATGGTTCATTGAGAACTCTACTGAATGGAATACCATAGTCTGGTTGCAGTGTACAAACCACTCATCACACCTAGCAATGCATAGTTGTGTGGCTAGTGGTGCAAAGAGCACAGGCTATGGACTACCGGGCAGTGGAGAAATGTGATGTGGTCAGATGAATCATCCTTCACCATGTTCTCAACAAGTGCACATGTGGTGCCAACCTAAAGAACTCTACAGCCCTAAGTGCTTGGTTCCAACAGTAAAGTGTTCGGGTGATTCCATAATGGTGTGGGGCACATTTTACTGGCATGGTTTGGGTGCACTCATACCTTTAGAAGGCAAGGTTGATGCTAATCATTACTTAATGGTACTGAGTAATCATCTTCACCCAATGTTACAGCAATTCTGTCCTGCAGAGAGGGGGTGTCTTTCAAGATGACAATGCCCCTGTCCACAGAGCATGAGTATTTGCCCAATTTTTTGAGGAGTATGACACTGATGTTATCCATATGTCATGGTCTTCTCAGTCACCAGATATGAACCCAATCGAGCATGTATGGGATATTCTGGAATGACACCTCAGAGAGCATTTTCCACTTCCATCAACTAGGCATGAATTGATTGATTTTTTTATG